GCCTGAGTCTCGCCGGGCTCGGGGAGGAGGGGCTGGGCGGACCCCCGCTGCTGGTGGGGGAGGGGAGAAGAAAGGGGCTGGGACCCCCGCAGGGGCCCCATCCAACTGGCGGGGCAGCTGAAGCGGGAGGAATGTTCCGCGGTCAGGGAGCGGCTTGCCGTAACGCCGCCCACGCGGTCGGGGAGTGGGCGCAGGGAGGGGGGCCTGCTGCTGGGGTCAGGCCAGGCCTTCGGGGCAGTTACTCCGTGGTAAGAGGAAGGAGGATGGGCGCGGAGGCAACATGGCGGCATTTTCACTCCTCGACCCCCTTCCCCAGAGTGTCATGATAAAGAATGCAAGGGGGGAAATGCATGTTGCAAAGGGCCTTATTCGCATTTTCAGTTTTTTCCTTTGTGGATCAGAATTTTTTTTAACTGTGAGCCGCCAAGAGTCACCCATTGGGGGAGATGGGCGGCATACAAATTGAATGAATGAATGAATGAATGAATGAATGAATGAATGGAGACTCTTAAAGTGATGTAAGAATTGAGGTGGGATCCATGATTTGGGGAAAACTGGAAATGGGGGAGGGGGAGGGGAGATGAAAAAAGTTTCTGGGGAGGAATGAAAGTTCTTAGAGGTTCTTCTGCTCCTGTTGAGAGAAAGCGGGACCGAAGTCTTGGGGCTGCCCAGAGCCAGCAATGCACACGCTTGTGAACAGGAGCGTGCAAGTGAGTGCAGCTCCTATTGACCAGATGAACACAAGGAGGAGTCTGGCCTGTTTGCTCCTCCCGCGACGGAGGCCGGGAGGAAGAGCCCTTCCGGGCGGGACCCTCCAGGCCCGAAGGCTTAAGCCCAGGGCTGTCCAAAGGTCTCGGGTCAGCTCTGGGGAACTGGGGGCTCCGTTGAGGGAGGGGGAGCAGGAGAGGCTTTGGGGGGAAGGGACCCTGATTTGAAGGGGAACGAAAAGAGTGTCACCTGATGCCCATCTTGGGCTTTCAGGAAGTGGATTTTCATAAAAAGGGAGGAAGGAGAAGCATGGTCCGCTGCCATCACTACACACCCACCCACCCACCACACTGCTCCTTCTGGGGGGAAAACGACATTGTCATTCCAAGAGCAGAAAAGGAGCCAGAAATGGAGAGCAGAGGAAACTGAAGGCAGGAGAGGGGGGCCAAGGCAAGAGAAAAGAAGCGCAGCTAAAAGGACTTTCTGCGGCTCCCCCCAAGCCTTCCTCTCCTGCAAACCCTCCTGGCTTCCACCAGGACCTCCACCGCCCCCTGGCTCCGAGGCCTTTTCCTCTTCTTTTCCAGGGACTCCCCAACTCCCTCCAACTATGGCTGCCTTTCCTCCCTCCCTCCAGATGAAATCATCTCAACCTTCCCTTCCCCTCCTCCTCCACTTCTCCTCCTCTTCCTCTACCTCTTCTCCTCCTCCTCTCCTCCTGCTCCTTCCACTCCACCCAGCTGGGACTGCTCTCCCCTTCCTCCCTGCCTGCATTTTGTTTTTGGTCTTCCTTCAGCCTCAGCCCCTTTTTGCCCAGAGAAGCTCCCAGGTGGGTCCCTCCTGACCCCCCTCTGGCATTGCAGGGGGAGGCTGGGCCTAGGGCTGCCTCTGCTCCCCCTCTGGGGCTGGCCTGGGGCTGGAGGAGGCACAGGGACCCTCCCTGGCTGTGGGGCTGCCCCTCCCTTCCTCTCCCCCATGAGGCCCTCCCCCCAGGCTAGGCCCGGCCACTGCTCCTGGGTGCTTCATCAAAGGGGCGGCTTCTCCTTAATCAACCCCCCGCCAGTCTCTTCATGGGGGGACACCCCTCCAGCCCAACAGCTTCAGAGAGCCCAGAGGACACCTGGATATCTGGCCCCACATTACACTGTCCATGGAAGGATCAGGCGCCCCTTCCGAGTCCCAGCAGCCCCACCCTGGAGACCCCCTGGGGCCTTAAGGGAGGTTCAAAGGGCATCTAGTCCACCCCCTCCAGGCCCACAGAGGAAAGGAGAGCCTGGCTGGGAATCCCGGGGAGAGCAAAGGAAGGGGTTGGCCCCTCTGGAGGTGGCGGGGGACCCCCCCAGAGCTGCAGCCCCCCAAGACGGAAAGGATCCCCCCCTCCCACTTTCTCCGCTTCTTTCTCCGCTCGGAACTATCTCCTCC